CAGTCAAGTCAAGTTAAGTGACCGGCGCCCGGAAAAGCGTGGTCAGCCGAGGTACCTATTTGCTCGGCTTTGTCGAGATGTTACCTAGCCCGGTCCTTATTAAGCTTAGCTAGTGGAGTGCTTGGATATGAAGCACAGCACGACCGTTGGCGGACAAAATGGTACAGCTCGGCTACCGCGTTCCCAATAGAGTGAACGGGCAGTTGAGATTAGGTGACGCTCAGCAAGATTTGTGCTGACAGATGGGATAGCAGAGTCACGTGTCGAGGGACCATTGGGAGCAGGCTTGGGACGCAGAAGGGTATATAAGCATGTCTGCGCCCCCCCATATGGTGGGGACGAACATTTTTGTAAGGAACTCCTACACTCAAACTCTTTCTCTGCTCTCCCTAAGGTGTGTGCTAATTAGATCGTCGGAGGGGTTTTCCGGCCACACACCGCCGGGTAGCTCACCCTCATTGTGTTTTCAGGTGATCGGACATAAACGGAGCTTGGAAGAAAGGAGTACGGGCTTGCTGAAATATTTGCTCCCCGCACAATATACATGTAAAGTTATGCTCTTCAACCATCCATACCAGGTTCAATATAAGTGTTAAGTACAAAACCAAGTTGAATGATGAAATCATAGCCAAGGTAAGGTCATGTATGCGAAGGTTCTTGCTTAAACAACTTCAAAACTTCATGATATGCACATGCATGCAATGACATGATGTATATTTTTCATTTTAGCTCAATTCTCGTGTAATTCACTCAATCCTCTTGAATCCATAGTTTAAACATCAAAATTATAAAATCCAAAGGTTGAATTTCCTACCTCAAGCTTGAATTCTCAAGTATAAAAGTGTAATCTTTGAAGTTTCTTCCAATTCCTCCAAGTCTCTAGCAATCACTCTACAATTGAGCTTAAGTTTCCTCCTCTCTCACTCTTATACATTTTTGTCTTCAAAGACGAGGGATTAAGAGTGCAAAAATGTACAAATGGTGTAGAGAGTGGCCTTCTATAGGTCCATTACATTGACTTAATTAATCTTGGCTTAAATTAAGCAAATGAGCATTAATTAATCTAATTATTTCGTTCTGAATCGAATTTCAATTAAACTTACCATAATATTCTAAAAATTTCAACTAATACGTAATTCAAGTCAATTTCGTGATTGGATGCCGATAAGGCCTTCAATTCACAGTACAAAATAAAAACAGAAATAGATATTCCTACAATAGACAGATAGAAACTCATATAGCACATAATACATGCAATTAACTCAGATTTCTTCTTGATTACTTGTTGGGCATAATTAATCATGGATTAACGTTAATCAGAGGTTAGGGTTGTTACAGGATTGAAGATAAATTCCTACCTGAATTGTTCAAATTGTTGAAGATTGGAACCTTAGCTTCAGTGTTCTTCTTCTCCATTGCTTTTCTTCTCTTCTTTTTCCTTATTAAGCTCACTCTTAAAGTCTCTCTCTCTCTCTCTCTCTACGTGTATGCGCTGTATGAAACCCAACAAGACCCACTAACCTCTTTCCTTTTTCTTATTCAATATATAGCAATACACTAGTTCTTTTGATTATATATATTTTAGGCTTTAATTAAGAAGGCTAATAAATTATATTAACTAATTGGAATTAAATTCACTCAAATTAATTTAATCCTCATTCTTATAATCGTAATTACACTAAATTAAATTATACTAAAGTGAATTAAGTTATAATTCTTATCCAAATGCTTAATTCTCACTTGTTAAATTAACGAATCAGACAGGTTTAATTTTCACTCTAAGTTATTTGTTCACAATAACAATAACACGTGGCACAAATCAATACGATGCATATAGTACATGGCACATAATTTACAATCAACACATAATCACACGATTAACTCAATTACTTTATTTAATTAAGGAGGTGGTTATCACATTCTCTCCCCCTTATGACGTTTGGTCCTCCAAACTTAATTACCTTCCTCCGGGAAGAATATAGGATCAAGTGGGAAGAAGTCCGAGTATCTTCTTTTCATATCCTTTTCCCTTTCTCAAGTCGCATAGATGCCACCATGATTTTGCCAATTTATTTTTACTAAAGGAATTTATTTGTTTCTCAACTTCTTGATTCGCCGGTTTATAATCTGAATGGCTTTTTCCTCGTAAGTGTAGTCATCACTCAAAAGCTTATGGATAGGCTCAATAACATGAAAAAGATCCCGAAGATAATCCCGCAACATTGAGACATGAAAGACATTATGCATATGTTCCATTTCGGAAGGGAGTGCTACCTGATATGTCACTGGATTAATCTTTTCAATGATTTCATACGGCCTAACATATCTCAGTGCTAACTTGCCCTTGGTTCCAAAGCGAGTCTGCCCTTTCATTGGTGTCACTTTAATAAAAACATGATCATCCACTTTGTATTCTCTGTCTCGCCTTCGGACATCCGTATAGCTTTTCTGTCAGCTTTGTGCAGTTTTCAATCTTTGTTGAATTAATTTCACATTTTCTGTTGTTTTATGTATAATCTTAGGCCCAAGTAAAGGCCCATCTCCAACTTTTGCCCAACAAATAGGAGACCGACATTTTCTGCCATATAATGCCTTAAAGGCCGCCATACCAATACTTGAATGGAAACTGTTATTGTAGGCAAATTCAGCTAGAGGCAAGTGAGTTTCCCAATTGCCTTGAAAATCAAGCACACACATACGCAACATATCCTCCAAAGTTTGGATTGTTTTTTCTGACTGGCCATCGATCTGTGGATGGTATGCACTGCTCAATCTCAATTCAGTACCCGATGTCGTTTGCATACTTTGCCAAAATCTTGATGTAAACTCCGAGCCCCTATCAGAAACAATAGACACAGGCACTCCATGCAATCTAACAATCTCATTAATGTAAATTGTAGCCAACTTATCCACATTATAAATTATTTTGACAGGTAAGAAATGAGCAGACATAGTCAAACGATCGACAATAACCCAAATTGAATCCATACCTCTATTGGAACGAGATAGTCCAACAATGAAGTCCATAGTGATGTGTTATCATTTCCCCGATGATTTTCGGGCCGGGAACAGTGATATGTTTCCTAGCCCCATCCCCGGCCCTGACCCCCGCCCCACTTTCCCCAAAGTAAAATTATAGTTTTACCCCTATATATATATATATATATATATGCATGTCTTCATTTTGTTGACACTCACACAATTGCTCCCTCACACTCACACACAGCTTTTTCGCGTGAGAAAAATGGGAAGAAAGGGAGGGAGAAAGAAGAGAGTCGATCCTCCGTCGGACTGCCGATCTCCTCCGCCGAGAAAAGAGAGTTGTCATCTTCATAGCGCTAATCTCCTACGCCGATCTCCTCCGACGCCCTCTTTCGCTTCTCTACCGACTCTTTCTATCTCTCTCTATTCCTCTCTCTTTCTCTGTGTTATACACACACACACACACACATATATATATATATTATAAATTGCAGCTCAGATCTATGAGATCTATGATGATGATTATCTGTTGTTGATCTTTTTTTTTTTTTATCTGTTGTTGATGATGATGATGGTCTATGATAATGATGATTGGTTGTTGTTGATCTCTCTCTTTTGCCATGCTGATCTTTTTTTCTTTCTTTTTTTTTATCCTTCATAGAGCTTCAAAGCAGTTTTCAAAAAAAAAATGGCCGGGGATTTTTCGGGGTCGGGGAAACCTAATCCTTGTTAGGGGATGGGGCAGGAGAGATGATGGGTTCCCCGCCGGGGATCGGGGGCGAGGACGAGGAATTTTGTATCTTTGGGGACGGGGAGTGTGATCCCCAACCCTGCCCCGGCCCGTTGCCATTCCTACCGACGATCAAGTCAGTCAACTTATCTCTCAAAGTTATCAAAACAATGCTTAAACTCACAAGTAAAAACATCATAAATAAAAGCATACCTTAGACCCACGAGCGTGCCTCACTTTTATAATGATCAGTGTCCAACTTCTCCTAGAATTCTTACTTCATAGGACTCTATCCTTTACAAGGATAACATCTATCACAACTGATACTATTCAGATTAAGATGAACTTCCTCAAGAGTCTCATCTCTGTCCAAATACGTAGTTTGATATCATCTAGGACTCTTGTCCTCTATCTAAATATCTTGAATTTCAGTATTATCGCACCACATTTTGGCACCATGGTCCGCCCACGTGGCACTTTGGCTAACAATCTCTATCACGTGGACTACCCATAAGTTTGTCTCCACAGCTTGCGATGAAAAATTATTTGAAAATATGTTAAAAAGTAAAAAAATAAAATAAAATAAATTATAAAGTAGATGAAAAGATTTTAAAATTGGTAAAAATATCCTTGTGTTGTTATCATTTCTTATCATTTTTCTTCTATCCATAATAACATTTGTTAGTAGGATTTTTCATTTTTATTGCTTTATTATGGATAACTACTGTTGAAATAGACAATATATTATTTAAAAGATAAATATAATCACGATAACATATACACTTGCTATCAAATCATACCATTTTATAAAATAAAAATACTAGAAATTTCAAATATTTTATCAAAAAGATATATAATATTCACATAAATGTGGATCTCATGGCATGAGTCTGACACCATAAAAGTATTGAGCAAAAATTTTAATAAAATTTTCAGAATCTTTAACATTGCTTTATAGGAAATCATTTGGTTATACAAAATTTCTCTTTTTTATTTATTAAGAGTATGAAAATATTATTTTTATTGTCAAATTGACAAGTCTAGTCACAAGTATGTTGTAAATCTGTTGAGTTTATTTGAGTAATAGACTATTTAAACTTGACCTAAATACTTAATGAATCTTAAAATATATACAAATTATGATTTATACAGATGTCATATGATATCAAACGAGTTTTAATTATAAACAAACTTAAAATAGTTTAAATTTGTATAGTACATATGATTTCTTCTGCATAGAAGTAAGTTTTAATGAATTTTAAAATGTATAATTTGCCTTTCTTTTTCAGTTTAACATAATTACTGACAGTTGTTACAACGCAAATAAAACTCTTCCACTAGTCAAACGTTGAGAGTGTGATCGAAACTATACTAGGTCACTATATAAAATCCTAATATGCCTCATTCATCCTCTATGTAGGTTTAAGCTCTCTCTCAGTCTCTCTCTCTCTCTCTCTCTCTCTCTCTCATAGGGCAGTTTTCAACAAACTCATCATCATCAAGTTCTATGATCGTCTCTTTGTTCTTATGGCTATTCCTCCATCAAAACGTTTAAGGTAATATATCTATATATATTTATCCAAAATCAAAATCTACCCATTTTTTTTATAAGATCTATTGTTGGATATCCATTGAATGCACATTGACATTATGATCAAAACATATACTATGGACATTGAGTTAAACTATGTTTTTTTTTCATGTCATGTGTTTCATTGAAAGTGATGGTTTTGGATCATCTTACACTCTATATCATTTATTGTTTCATAGTTTTTTTCCAACTATTGATTTTGGTGGTGGACGTGAGAAACAAAACGGAATAGACGATGTGTGCTCTTTAAATATCTATTAACAACTTAATTGTTGACCCGTTATAGAATTTTTGACTTCTAATATCGATACAAAAATCATGCAATTAAATGATTCGTAACGAATTTTATATGTTCAATGTACAAAAATAAAAATAAAAAATGTATTGAATGGTTCGTGGCAAATGGATTTTTCTCCAATCGAATTGTTATTTTTGTTTGTTCTTGATTTACTAGTTCTATGTGCTCAGCTTTAGCATAATACTATATGAAGTTTAAAATAAAAAAAATATATTATTATTTTACTAGTTCTATGTGCTCAGCTTTAGCATAATACTATATGAAGTTTAAAATAAAAAAAATATATTATTATTATTATTATTATTATTTACATAGATTACATATACATTCTTTTTTTTTTTCTTTTTTTTTTAAACATTTTGTTTAGCTGATAGGGATTTGAGGCTTTTTGGTGCAGTTTATATGAGTTGTTTATAACTTCTTTTTTTCTATGTTAGATTTTGGTACATTTTTTTGCTTATAGTTTGTTAATAGCTTAAAAAAGTTGAGTTGCTTTTGACTTTTACTTTTGGTTTATCAACTTTTAATTTAGAATGAGCTACACCAAACACCACCTTTGTTTGTTGGTAGCCTGGAGGATTAAAAGCATAATTATAGTGTTTTTTGGTTCAAGATTTTGAAAATTAGAAGATTTTAAGTTTCATTTTGATTATAAAAGTGGAATTGTACTCTTCTTTTGTTCATATTTTGTTGAGGTTGAATCTGATAGTGAATCAAGTGAGTGTAGTGAGTTTTGAGTTTGAGTTTGAGTGAGTCAAGGTTTTCTGTATTAATTACTCTTTCCTCTATCTTATTGATTAGCATTTGTATTTGCTTCTCTTTAACGGTTGGCCACAGCCCATACAGATGGGCCAAATCGGCTCTTTTTTGTGCATAATTATAAAATAAAATCACAATTTCATGGAATTTTGACAAGTTGGTAAAAAATTAACTTTTTATTTTTATTTTTTTGTGAATTTTTGACTTTTTGTTTTAAAAAAGCTGATTTTTTGTTATGAAGGAAGGATTTGAATGACCCCGAGTTGGCTGTAACTCATAATTTGTTTATTCATGACACATTTGTTTTGATGGATAATCACAGATTGTTTACTTCTATTTTTAGTGCATGGATATAGAGAATCTCGTGTAGTGAATGCCCTTGTATATTCTTCATATTTCCGAGTCTTCGATTGTTTTCTTGCAGCAACAGCACTGAAACTACCCTCAGTGAGGTTGAAACAACAAGGCCATGGTCCGATCTGCCTCGTGATCTTCTCTCACCAATTGCCAACCGCCTAGGCCTAATCGAGCTCCTAGGTTTCCGTGGCGCATGCAAAGACTGGAAAGCTGCTTCCTCTACAGCTTCGGCTAAAACTGAGTCCTCATCAGATCACCGACCCTGGTTCATACTCTACGGTGAAAATTCCGAATGTATCTTGTACGACCAATTGGACAAGAAAAAGTATACCATCAATGTCCCCGAGCTAGACGGAGCGACTTGCCTCGCATCGAACCAAGGTTGGCTTCTTCTCTCCCGGGAAGGATCAATCTTCTTCTTCTGTCCTTTCTCTCGAGCAAGAATTGAACTTCCAAGCTTCCCTCACTCTGACCTCTCCGGCCACAATGCAGCTCTCTCAGCTCCACCCACTTCAGAAAACTGCGTTGTCTGTGTGATCAACCGCCACGATCACCTGATCGTGGAGCTAAATGTTCTTCGTCGTGGCGAGCAAACGTGGACTAAGGTCAATTACGATTGTCCTGAAAATGTCTTAGGTGTTGTTACAGGGACAACTTACCATGAGGGAACTTTCTATTTCTTGGACAATAGAAGCAAGCTATTGACATATGCTGTGAAGAAGAAGAAGTGGGTACTGTATACGATTGTTGATAGCTCGAGCGCGTCAACCAATGATTGTCTGCCATTTGCGTACAGGACAAACTATTTCAGGAACTGGGATATGAAGAGGTGCTTGGAATTGGGAGAGGATGTTTCGGTTTCTACTTGTGGGACAGGAGTGCGAAGTTTCAGCGGTGAGTATGATATGGTTATCAATAATGAAAGCATCGCGGCGGTTTCGAAAGAGATTGAAAGTCCGCGCCAGCTCAAAGGGATATGGATTGAATCTCGGTTCCTTCAGATCCCTCCCAACCAGAGCTGGTGAGGGTTTCAGTTTTCTCTCACGAAATATCTTTCTTTTTGCCATTATATTGCTTGTTTTTGCTTTGTTTCGTGAATCACTGATAACGATGACTCGCTTTATATGTGTTGAATTTCTTTATTGTGACATTTTTTTGAGGTAGCAGACGTTAGAGTTTTCTAGTTGGTATTATTTGAGTTTTAGCATTTCTTACTGTATTGAGTTTTAATTCCAGTTTATGAGCTGCCAAGCAAGAAATGATACATCATTCACCGACCTTTTAAGCACAATCGCAAGAGAAATTAGAAGGATTTGCATGAAATTCTTTGCTATAACCATGACTATTGCATAGTCTTGAACAGTCAATGGCTCAGGTGGGGGGGGAAAAAACATAAAACCAGCACACAGCTAACTACAATTTCATCAGTTGAGGCTGATAAAACATATTCATATCATTACTACCTCATCTCAGAGCCGAGAAGGAAATTTCACAATTGGATGGAACAAATCAAAATTGTTGTAGAACAACCTTGCGCATGAATTCTTCTGGCACTGCAAAACAACAAAAGCAAAAAATGTCATAAGATTGTCAATTGTTTATCCAGTTCAACAAAAATGACAATCAAATAGTCCAAAAACTCTAATACTGCAGAAAATTTCGGTTGATGCATACTTGGCTTTCCATTTTTGCTTGTTGGTCCAAAGGGGTTACAAGATTATCTCCACACTCGACATTCAACTAAGCTAAAGCTCGCTCGTCAAAACCTACTTCCATTTTCTGTAGCCTTGGAAACACCTCGATTATACCCCAGAACTCATTTACTGATTGTTGTTAGAGAATTTATAATGTGCCAAAAGGGGATATACCTAATCCACCAGTGAACAATTTGAACTGACCAAGAGCCTGCCTGATGAACATCTCGACTCCGCTCACCACTGTGGTTCCCACCTCTGCAGCCTCTCGTAAGAGCCGAGTGTTTCTAGGCGTGTAAACAGCATCAAAAACCAGCTCATACGCTCCCAATGCCTCCTAAAGTGGTAGAAAGATGAAAGATGTGTTGATCATTTTTTGCTCATTACATGCGCATTTACGTATTTAAATACTGAGAGAGAGAGAGAGAGAGAGAACCTTGGAAAGAGGAGTTTGATCTATATTTGGTTGCATGCCCACAGCAGAAGCATTTGCGAGAATCATTCCATTCTCATGACGGAACATGTCTAAACATTCATAAGGCAGAGCTTCACCAGAAACTGCTTGTGCCAGTGCCTTTGCTCTCTCTTTCAAAAGAACGGTAAAAGTCAGTAAGCTAGAAAACTACATCACATCAACCCAAGCCCCTTGGCTTTTTGCACCAAGGTTTAACATTTTCCATATTTGCAGTTGAATATGACAATCCCAGTTGTGTTGAACAACCTTTTCAAGTAGCAGACAGTAATGTTTTCAAGCTGGTATTATTGAGTTTTAGCATTTCTTTAGGTGAAATTCATCCGGTGATATACAACGGTCCGTCCACTTGAGGACATAGCATGTTTTTGTCTCACCAAACTCGGGTATGATTTTCCAAGCTCATTAATGGCCATGTGGTGCATTTTTTCACTATTTATCGGTGAATCTGTATAGAGTTTTAATTCCAGATTATGAGCTGCTTAATTCAATTTCGATGCGTTTACCATAATTGCGGTTGAAAATGATGACCCTTGCCCCTCGGCTTTTTGCACCAAAAGCCAGCGCTCTACCAGCACCTCCAGCTCCAACCAACACAAAAACTTTCCCGGCAATAGGAGAGGTCTGTGATGCTCCTCCATTGGTAACTAGTTTTTCTGTTCAACCCACAAAATACAAATTAGCTTCTAATCTAATCACAGACATTGACACGGACGCGCCAACACGAAAATTATCAAAAAATATAGGACACAACATGTGGGGATACGTGCAAAATATAAAATTATATACAGAGACGAGGATAAATAATTATTACATGTCATGCATATGTATATTTAACATTATAATTTTTAGAGTTTAAAAGAGATAGATATAAAATTGCATTGTTTTTGTTTTATCATTGGATTCCAAGTTATTTTATTTAAACTTATAATGTACTTCTTATGTGTTTAAGTGTTGTGAAGTGTCTGATGAAAGGAGTGGAGTGTTGGTGTCAACAAAACATGTTACCTTCTTAGAAGTGCATGTCCCTCTTAGCTTCTGATTATGTGACTTAAACCTTGTTATTGGACTACTATGAAGTTCTTTGTCTGTTTTCTTTTTAGTCTGTTTACTTTTTAACCTCAACAAAAAGTAGTTCAACCAGAATAAACTCCTTGATGTCCCACGTCACAAGGTAAATTATATACTCATTTTTAAATATCTTTTGTGTCGTTTTATTATCTAGATGCACTATAGTCAACTTAGATGAAACAAAAGGATTGGACAAATGAAAGTTTTATGTCATCGTAAAATGAATTATTGTACCTCTCAAGGCATCCTCGATTGCAGTTATACAAGCCTCACAATCTGTATTGTAACCAACTAGCTTCCCATCGGTAGGTCTCCTTATAATGGTATTTACAGCTCCTATGGACTGATTGACAAAGCAAACCACAGTTTAGAAAGCTATTATACACTACCATATTATCAATGGCTCATCTCAAACTGCAAAAACAACATTTTGTGCCACAAAATGTCCATGTCCAATTGCTAAATATCCATACATGGATATAAGAAAGGTGTCAAGTTAAAATTCTAGAAATTTTCTCTCGAATGGATCGTAGTTAATTGACTGTTATGTTATAGTCGTGCAAGGTCTAGGACTGGACAAATTGCAGCTAATGAAATCCAAATGTTCAGGACAGCAAGCTCAAAAGGGAATAAAATTTGATGCACTCTATACCAGGAACGTGCAGACCAACTCAATCATGGGTTCTATTTTTTTTTTATGCAAATCTCGGCTCCATTGGATTGATGTAAACCAAACAACCCCAACCACAGGCTTCTGATGGCTTATGACATGCCCGTATTCCAACAATATATCTTTTAATATATGGCCCTAGAAGAAGAAAAGACTGTTTGTGTAGCTGTCCAAAGGTAGCTGAGACAAGGATTCGCGGATTTACTATATTTTGTCTCTCATGAAAATGTAAGCGTACATAATTAGTCTTGACAGTGCACAAATCTCACGCCAGTTAAAAAAGGAACAAAATTTGGGCACAGAGACAAAATAAAAATTTTCTTTTTCAAATACAGTCCTTTTTTGACAAAACTAAGAAAATTACATTGCAAATGTTTTCAGACCTTAGCAAGTGGATGGACTTCATCACAGCACTCTACTGCTGCTTCCTTATGCGGGATTCCAACACTACAAGTTCCATCAAAGGAAAGAAAAGCTTGCATTAGAAAATTCTACTCAATAAAATTGACTTGATTCTAAAAAAGAAAAAAGAAAAAGAAAAAGAAAATTAACTATTTAGATGATTTTGGTTTGTAAGGGTATCTCCAATCCTTGCTCTGTTTTTTCATCAAATTTAAGTGAAAATTTGGTTAAAAGCTTGATCTGGTATGAAACACTCCAATCCTTACTCCCTCTTTTTTCCGCATTAAATCTTTTTGAAAAATTACAAACTTATCCTAAAAACCCCATTTTTTTATCAAAGAAAATCATCTCTAATCCTTACTCTTTTTAAAATTTCATCAAGTTTGAGTAAAAATATGACTGTTAGAAATTTGGCAAAGGACTTGGTTCATCCTTGATTTTATGAAAATTTTGCCTCTCCCTTGATTTGATACAAGTTCAATAAAAAATTGGTGCTTACTTTTAGATCTTCATTCATCAAACATAAATTTGATGAAAGAATTGGTGAAGGATTGGAGATGCTCTAACACTCAATTTTATTAGGCAACAGCATCCCAACAAACAGGCAGGAGGGATTCTAAGCAAAGATGTGCAGAACTCAAGCATTCAACCATTGCACAAAAATGGAACAAAATTTATGAGGCAAACAAAATTTCCTAACAAGAAGCAGCAGATGGCAACAAACTAGGAGTAAATTTGACTCTGTAAACAAGAGAGTACCTATCAGCATGCCATGTAAAAAACTCTAAATGTGTGTTTTAAGAGGAAGAAACGTTGGTCATTAGTGTTACATTGATATACATCTATTTCGTAATAGCTTAAGGTTTTGGGAGGTGATCTTATCTAGCATGGTATATCAGAGTTTGGTTTCAGGAGGTCCCAAGTTAAGTCTTGTCACCCTTGTTATCTCTGTCATTCTGCGCTCTATTCTATTTGTCTGTGCGCACCTTGTTCACCCAATCTATTTTCCTCTCCACGTGTAACAGAGTATGTGAGGGGGGAGTGTTAGCTTGATATACATTGTAAAGCCTATTTCCTAATAACTTGAGTTTTTGGGACAATTATTGATCTAACAATTAGCTCTCTCATCGTAACTTCTAGCATAACATGAGTCTGAAATGAACATAAAACATTGGCTATAGGCCACAAGTCTACACTGAATTGCTCCACTGCATTACAACGTCATCAATTCAGTGCTGTACAGATTTAGTCTTTTGTAGACTTCAGATTTATATTGTCACAATAAGCAAACTTATGAAGTTTGGAAATATTATGTCATTGTGTTTTGGAAATGGACTTGAAACATATTATCACAGATGATTATCACTGGTACTGGTGCCAAACTGAAGTCCATCCATTTAGCAAGAATGTTTTTTCCCTTAAAGTCTACATAACATGTAACAATTTCTCCATCACAGAGTTATCAAATTAACCAATACTTAATAATTCAATTGCTCTTTCTAATCAATCAGACATCCACAAAAAAGTTAAGTCTTTGTAAACGTGTGTGCATGAATAAGAATCAAAGAGCAAAAAAAATAACCCTCTTTTCTCCTTTTTATAAAATGGTTGCATACCTGAATCCGGCAAAGTCGGTGCATGAATAGACCCTAAAGAATTCCGTGATATCATCGACAAGCATCGGAACATAAATTCCATTATATCCTGTGTGTCTAAAGGCAGGGTTATGCAAAAGAGGGCCTTTGCTATGGCCAACTGGATTTGAGATGAGACCAAATACTTTGGTATTTGCATTGATATATTCAGGCTTGTAAACTTGTTTAATGCTGACAAGAGGTGGCAAGCCAGCTACGGATGTGCCTCCCAGAGATCCACAAACTAGGAAAGCACCAAATTTTGGGCCCAATAATTGGCTTATAAGACCTCTATCACCAACTGCTCTAGCAATTAGTGGCACCTGCATGTTGTACATAACAGAAGTTGAATGCAGTATGATACTAAACTGATGGAAAGAAAATAGGAGCTCCAAAAAAATTAGATGTCCTAAGAGACTGGAACAAAACACTACTTGGCATGAATTTCATAAAAAGACAACAGAACATTGCATGTATTTGGATTATCTCATAAATGTTTTTATATCTTTTTGAGTAAAAGATGAAATGCTGTATTTTATTACAGTATATTAATAAGTTTTTAGACCTTATTTTCTTGGGATCATACGCACTTACGTAAAATCATGTACACTTGTATTTGATAATTTATTTGACAACAAGCAACAAAATATTGACTTTCTCCGATCAAAAAAAAAAAAGATTTATTTTTGTTTATAGCAAAATTTACCTTTTGATTTTATGCTTTTTCCTTTATATGATTAAATTAATGAATGAATCCATAAATCGGAATATGTTGAATTAACAATTATTAGGCATTTTATACATTTAGATAATTAGTTTGTATTTCTAAACCTTTCGTGTATTTTCATTTTTTTTTTCTCTTTCAAATGTTACTAATCGTTTCCAAATTATTTATGTTTCCGCGCTTGCCAAAAAAACGCATTGAAACGAAATTTTGATCGTTGATCATGCGCATGATGTTCAATAAAAATGGGAGAGCAGAAAGGTAAAACAAAATGGAAGGAATAAACATTTACCCTAAATCACAAAACACCTTGAACTGAACCGATGTCATGTTTTCCAAAACAAAAAAAAAGGGTGTCCAGGAATAGAATGCATACTAAAAAAATTCAAACAGTTAAGAAAAAAAAAAGAATAATTTACTCTGAAAAAAACCGCAACAACTAATAAGAAGAGATGCTGCAGCTAAACACTGTCAACTAGACTGGCACAATTAATTGGCATAAAAGGGGGAAACAAATTTGGGTCTATTAAATTGCCTAGTGAGAACTTGAGCATAGCTCATTGTACTTCTAGGGGGAGGTTGGGGTTCACATCGAGCTTATGGAGAAGCGTCAAACACTGGTTGTGCTAACCTAACTTACATTAAGGCTGTGATTAGATGGAGGAATTGGAAAGGGAAAGAAAAAATGTAGGTAAAATGTGAATAAAATATACCTATATTTTATCTAATTGTACACACATTTTCCCTAATTGTACACACATATTCTATTTCTCTTTTCAAATCTCTCCCCAAATCCCCCGATCACACGCAGCCTAAGGCCATCTCCAACTCCAACCCTCACTCAAATCTAGACTCAAAACTTAAATTGAGTAAAAAGCTTTTACTCTCAAATCAAGGAGACCCATTTCCTTAACGTTGTGTTTGGTTGGGAGATTTGGAAAAGGAAAAGGTAGGTGAAATGTAAATAAAATATGTTTATATTTTCACACACATTTTCTCTTTTCCTTTTCAAATTTCTTCTCAAATCCTCCAACCAAACATAGCGTTACTAAATCCAAACTTGACACTTGGGCACTTTCACCAAACTTTCCACAGATCTACCTTACTATACCTTCCAGTCAAACTTGACAATTTGGCAATTTTACTATCCATTCGAGTGTTTCATATCAAATTAAGCTTTTTAATCAAAGTGTAAGAGTTCAATTGAATATGCACATTATCAACCTGCCTAGTGCAAAAAATAAATAAAATAAAAAATTGCATTTTGCACAGTGATGATAACAAGTAATACCTGACAATGGGTGAGCATATGGAAAACTGGAGCTACATCTGTAATATAAACAACATCAATCAACAGTTTGATGACGTCAGCCCCTGTAGATTGAAGGCAAGCAATCAGGTTACCAAGTTTCTCCTCTGAAGGTCTCCCACTGTTCACATGGCTTGATACGATTATCTTGCTATTTGATCGATTGTTCATAAACTCAGTTAAACCTACTTCAAAAGCTACCTGGAAAAGGAAAAAAAAAATCGAATTTTTCAAAAATTTTTTTGGGGATTTTCAGACATGGAATCTCAAAGAAGACATGGAATTGAGCAATGTGAAGAACAATAAAGAGAGAATTATGAGTGGGATTGACGAGCCTGAAGATCAATTTCGATGAATTCGACATCGAGTTGGAGAGCGAGTCTGAGAACTTGAAAGCATCTGCTTTTAGTCTTGCTCTTGCACTCTCCTCCTAATCCTCTGCTCGTACTCCTTCCTGAATTTAGCCTGTCTCAAAAAAAATTAAAAAATTAAAAAATTAAAAAATTAAAAAAAAAAACCTAAAAAATAAATCTTAAAATTTTAATTAAAATAAATTACAGATACATCTATTGCGATTTATTTAAAGCGCAAATTTTATTTGGCCTATGTGCAGAGAATCTTGTTGTCACTTGATAATAATTACATAATTTTTTTTTCTATTTTCATAAATTAAGATGTACAATTAATTCAATTAATACGATGAGTATATTATTTTTTAAGCAGAAATGATAGAGATTTTTTTTTTTTTCTTAATCTTCACAACTCTCATCGACACATATTAATAATAGGAAAAAAAATAAAATAAAATAAAAATCAAAAAATTAACCAATCCAAATACATTAAGCATGGTAGGGGTCAAGAAAAAACAGATCCCAACCTTTTTCCCTTTTTAAGATAGAAATACCCCTCATAATATGCTTTAAAATTTACAAAATAATCTGTACTCTTTCTCTCTCCTCCCTTCCCTTTCTCAGTCCTCCTCCATTACCATCCCTAAAACCATGACCACCATCTCTCTTGGTTCACACCTAGCTACCCTCCATAGGCCTCACACCCAACCACCATGAGTTGCCATCAAATGGAATTAACCATAGTATGAAGCAAAGATAGTAAACATAAGACAAACATGAGCATAGGCATTATCGTTTCCAATTTGAAGTTTGCTGAAACCAATGTGCTGTAAAGTGGGAGACTACAAAAGACTATTTTCCACTTGCCCATTTAATAGAACCAAAACAAAACTTTTAATCTTATAACCTGAAGCAAAGAGTATGCATGCACGATTACAGATTCATCCCTTATTCTTTGTTGAGTATGCAGATTACTCAACTCATATGACCACAAAATATTTATGGAAAACTAATTGTTGTTCTTTGATGTTGATGTGCATTGTTAGTTTTTTTAATTATTATTTGGTCCTGGACACTGCAAGGTGGGGCGGGGAAGTCATGGTGGTTATGGCTGGAGATGCAAGTTTGATAACTCTACGGTATATATATATATATATATATGGTTTTAAAGAAAGAAGATAAGATAAGGTTATTTTGGTAAATTTATTGGTTTTACAAACTATAAGGAAATTATGTGATTATTTCTAAAGAGCAATGGTAGAGGGCCACAAAAAGTGTGGCTTAAATGGCTCAAAACTATCAAAACGACGTCATTTTGGGCGTAAAACGACGCAAAACGACGTCGTTTTAACAGTTTTGAGCCATTTGAGCCACACTTTTTGTGGCCCTCAAACATTTTTCATTTCTAAATGATAAGGGGTCATTCCCATATAGGCCAAGTCATAAATATGTAATAGTTTTAGAGACTAAATTTTTTGATCTCTAAAAGCAAAAATTTTGTTACAAAAGATATTTAGGAATCAATTTCTATCGTCGTGAGGATAGTCGCTAAAAGATCATTCCGAAAAATAAAAAATAAGACTTTTAGCGACAAAATTTTAAAAATGTCACTAATATAAATAAACTTTTAAGAACAAAATTATTTGATCTAAAAATGATTTATTTTTTTAAACAAAAAATTTGGCCCAAAAGGATAATAATTCATCACTAATATTCAATTTTCGTTACTAAAAATATAATAACGATACTTTTTGCTAAGAATGGCCACGAGGACGGGTTTGTCATTCCCTGCCCTCGCCCCACCCCTGCTACAGGTGGAATTTTTTTAATCTCGTCCCCGTCCCTGTAGATGTCCACATATACCCGACCACATTTCAAATAGCCAAAAAAAATTAAGAACCATTTAAATCCTTAACAAACTTAATTTTCCTTATTTCCATATATGTAAACAGTAAGACTTTTAGTATTGTTATTTATTTATATTTAAACAGAATCACAAACTTTTAGTATTATTTTTTTATATCTAATTATATTATATATATATATATATCGGGTCGGGTTTGAATCGGGGAAGGCGATACCTGCCCCCGCTCCACCCCACCCCATACCACCCCATCCCCGTTATAGGTGATCAAAACATAATCCACCCTCGCCCCACATAAGTGTTGGGCGAGTAAAATCCACCCCATTCTGGTAGGTATGGGCGGACCACTGGTGATCGGATTAAAAAGGTCATACCTACTTTTCGCAACAAAAATATTTTGTCCTTAAAAAATAATTTTGTTTCTAAATTTTGGTCTCTAAAATCTTAATTTTTTTTAGTGAGGATAAAGTGAAATTTGTCCTTATTTAAAATATGAATTGTATTAACATCTCGCCTCTTCAAATTTTTAATAGCATAATAAATAACCTATTTTATTAATAAAATATTAAATCAATTAATAATTTTTAATGATGTTGTAAATATATTTTAATTAATAATTTTGATAATTCAGTGTTATATATGAGAGTTGTTATCAGTCTCATATGTAAAGAATTATTACCATTATCTCAAATATTTTGTAAATTTTTTTGTATTTTCAACATAGTTGCTAACAATATGCATTGCAAATCTAGTATTTGAAAATATGTATATATACGCACATCCTTCAAATGATGTGTATCACATACACTTTATAATTATAGAAAAAAATAATATAATTCTATACTTTCTGAGTTATAACTAAAATATATATATATATATAACTAAATACAAAAAACTCATAACCAAACATCTCAAAAAAATATCATAAATAATAAAAAAAGAAAATTAGTTATAACTAAAGAAAAAAATAGCTTAATTAAGGGTGCATATGGTATGAGGTGTGTATAATAGAATTCTCCCTTATTTAAAACGATGCTCTAATCAATTTTTTTTAATTAAAAAATTCTTATAGATCACATTAAAAAAATAATGGGTAAATTACACTCACCTCCCCTGAGATTTTTGACAATTACAGAGACCTCTCATGTAGTTTCAACAATTACAGAAACCTCTCTTACTTTTCTGACATTGTTAAGATTTTCCCCTCCCGTTAATTTAAGCCAAATAGTGTTAACTTAGTTGTGCAAATGACCAGAATACCCTTTACACTTAATATAATTTGCCTATATATGAAACTATCATTTTATTTCTCACAATTTTTTTTTTTTTGTATTTCCTTGACTTTGTATTTTTTTTCCACTATAGGTTTTGAACTTTTATAAGTTTAAAAAAAAATAAAAAATCAACCATTAATGAAATTAAGAAATAATATTCAGGTTTCTTATTTGAATTAATTTTGCGATTTAATTTAATAAAAATAATTTAAATGAAAGAAACAAAAATGGAGATATAGATTTCATATGTAATAAATAACAAATTATTTGAGTATTTTATTATTTTCAAATAATTTAATTCTTCAAGTAAAATTCTATTTTAATTAGATGTAAGAAATGACAAATTTAAATAGTTTATTATTCTCAAATAATTTCTTTATCTGTCATTCCCTATCATCTAATTTTAATTTATTGTAACGTGATTAGATATTTCTTTTCACTTTTATATTTATTTTTAAAATTTTTATTATTAAGGTGAGAAATATTGACTTGTTTTTTTTAATAATAATTAAAATTTGAGAATAATATAAGATTGTGAAAAGATAAAACGATAATTTTTTTTAAATATATTTATGAGGTAACATTTGGTAATTTTTATAAGTCAATGTAACATTTGTTATTATATTTATTTTTCTTAAAAAAAATTAATACACGAATGTTTACAAAACAAAAGAAAAATTCATGTTTCATAAGTTATTATGATATTGGGTGATACTAGCTAACATTGATGAAAAAGAAAAAAATGATAAAAAAAATTGAGGAAAACACATAGAGAAGAGAACAAATAATAATAATAATAATAATAATAATAATAATAATTATATGGTGTAGCTATTTCTTACAGTGACACTATGAAAAAATGAATGAGAAAATAGATAGAAAGAAAAATGAAAGAAATAAAATAAAGAAAATAGAAATAGAGGGATAATTTCTCCAAATATGTATTTTTCATATGGAAAAAAAAATCAAATACCTATATGTATTTTTAAATTTTGATTCAAACTCTAATTTCTCAAAATAATTATTTATAAAATTGGTGGTCTTTTTAAAAAATAAAACATCTTTTATACTTTGTTTCTTAATTTTTAAATAAATGATTGTATTTAATTTAGTATAAGGTTTAATGGTGATCAATTTATTACCTCTTTTCTTCTTAGATAAGGGAATGTTTGGTTATTCTATTCTATATATGCTTGTCATAACAATTTAGAATTTTTTTAAATATTGTTTAGAATTTAATAATTTTGTTTAATATTATTAAAATAATGTATGAGTCTTTATTAATTTTTTTGTAAAACCTCAGGAAAAGTGAGTGAAATTTACTGTTTGAATATATAAGGGCAATTTTGAAATTTTTTACTCATAGTACATGACGTCAAGCATAACATTATCATATTTTGTTAAATAAATTAATAGAAGATTAACGGTGGAGAAATTTTAATAATAGTTTTAAAGGTGATTTCTGTAATTATTCAAACTATATGAAAAGTCCTTATAATTGTCAGAAACATCAGGAGAGGTGAGTATAATTTGCCTAAAAGTAATCCATTGTTTGTCAACTGTGTTTAGAGTTTGCTTTTTGTTGAATATTTTTCATTTTTAGTGATTTTTTTAAAAAAGATAGGTTTTTGGATTTTTCTCAACTAAAATAGACAGTAAATAAAATTTGAAACAAAATCAAGACAAAAAAAGAAAGAGTAAAAAATAGTAAGTTGGTTTTTTTTTTTTAAATTTGGAACAATTTTTTACTTTTTAAATTAATCTATACAGAATTGAAAAAAAAATTATTATAAAAAAAAAAATTTAACTATGAACTCTTATTGTGAACTCTTACAATTGGAGACATTAGACATTATGGAGACATTATCATTGTAATAATTGTGAAAACAATCCCTCATTATTGTGTTTGGCTTTTCACTATGAACTCGTACAATTGGAGTGGGGGCGTCTCCAATGGAATAGGCTCTATTGGACTTTTGTGGTGCCACCATGTGATTCACCTATAAAAATTATTTATTTAAAATATTTATGTTAAAAATTAAATTATTTAAAAAATTATAATCCCCAATGGAATATGCTCTATTGGACTTTTGTGGTGCCACATGTGATTCATCTATAAAAATTCTTTATTTAAAATATTTATGTTAAAAATTAAAGTATTTAAAAAATTATAATTATATTATCAGATCCGATCTTGTTGATACAATTATTTAATTATATAAAAAATCCTATAACATGAATAATTAAAATCATTGAGTTATATCTGTGCTCCAAATTAATAGGTGTATTATGAACAGTCATGCAAAAAAAGAAAAATAAAAACCCTCTAACAAATAAAATTGAGCAATGTCATGGATCATAAAAAAGTATCATAAAATATTTTATTAAGATTTTTTTATCCTTTAATTAGTTTGTAGTTTGTTATTGTAGTGGAGAATATTCATGAAATATTTTATAAATTTTTTTTCATAATTTCTAATATTACTCAACAAAATTAATATCAAATAACATGAGAATAGAGAGTATTTTATGTAACAAATACGTTACGTGATTGAGTTGACATAGGTTTTACTCATTATTAGTTGTATGATAAATGTGAGATTTGAAAAGTGGCTTTATTTCTCAATGTTCGGTCACATTAAACTTGAACTTCTCTTTTATACCACAAGGTAAATAATGAGTGGACAAGTACACTACGCCAACTTTGTTAAAAAAAAAAAAAAAAAAAAAATACACTACATGACGTACTCATTATATAAAATATTTTCTCAAGTGTTTATATTTTGTGTAACGGGTATGATTCAGTAATGTACCATTCTCTCTCACATATATATACATGCGGAGAAAAGTGTACCAACGTAATGTACCCGTTACACAAAATATAAAGTGTAGAGAAGCCTTGTTAGGAGGTTCAGGATTCAAAGTATTATTGCAGACAAAAAGTTTCCTCCTCAAGCTATGGTGTTCCATGTACTACAAAAATAAAAGATGAGAGAGAGAGAGAGGACATGCCTGAAAGAGACAATGACAGGGAGAGGTCTATGTTTCAAGAGATGTTCAACTTGGGAAATGTGGGAGAAGGAGATGGAATCAAAGTGAAGCTCCACAAGATCTGCACCTTCTTCCTTAGCTTTCTCCATGGAACAAACCATCTCTTCCATGGTCTCACATTCTAATGTTGTGCACACTAACAAATCACTTTTCCAAGCCATGAGACTATAGACTTACTCTGTCTAATGCCTATATGACTATGACCCCACACAGAGTGACTGAGAAGGGATGGATTGAGAGAGGGAGGTTTCTAAAGAAATGCTTTGCTCCAAATCAAGTTAGCATAGTCATGCTTGCTTATATAGGCACACACAAACCATATCAGAGGAGAAAGTTATTTGGTGCTCTGGATTATAGTCACGTGGTGTCTCAAATTAAATGTAATTAGTGAAGAGGAAGAATTTCCTGATTTGAAAAAATAACAATAAAACATAACCATTGATGATTAATTAGAAACAACGACACATGATATCCTTGAGCACCTAATAATTTTTTATGTCTCGAAGAATCCACTAGAAAAACATGTGGTAGTGGTAGATATTGTAACATGTGGTAGTGGTAGATATTGTAAGTTTCAAGCCACAGTATAAAAGGCATATGTGTATATAAGTCCCGTATGGATTAATTATACATAATTTGATTATAAAATCAGATATAATTATTTTATATGAGGATGGCATTTATATATTTAATGGGTCTTATCTCGTGTAAGAGGGTTGTATCCTGTCATTGTGTGTTCAAATTTTGTGCACTTAAAATTAGAATTTTTCAATATAAAATGCCACCAGTTCTAAGTGCATTTTAAAAATATTTTAGATTTTTAAAAATTATTTTCATTTTAGAAATGAGAAAACCACTAAAAAGTTATATATATTTTTTAAAATCTTAACAAATCCAGTTTTAGTTTTTATTTTTCTATCTTTCACTCTTATTGTTCTTTATTCCAAATTATTTTAAATTATAATGTACTTTTACCATGAAGGAACAAGTAAGCACAAAAAATAAAAATAACAGTAGGAAGTAAAAATAAAAAAACTTTTCAATTGTTGCCTTAATTACAAACTAGTGGACAAACTGGTGGTCCGCCCGTTATACGCACGGATTGTCTGTGAATTGTGATTTTTAAATATAATATATCTTTAATTAATTATTTTTATTTAAAATTTAAAAATAATGTACGGGTAAAATTTATAACTAAATTAAGGAAAAATTTATTTCTAACGGCAAATCTGAAAAATGGTAGTCAATATAAATATTATACATTAAGTAAAAAAATGTGGTTAGCAATTATCCTTATATAAATTTACTATAGTTTTAATTTCAAATTAAAAAAAATAAAATTTAAAAATATTTTATTTAACTAGTACCAAATAGAATTTTCTTAGCAAAAAAAAAAGTTATAAAATTTTGTTATAAATTTTCAAATGTCTATTATTAAGCATTCTATTTTACTGATTTGTTTGCTTGCTTGCTTTGGGACTTTTGATTTTTACTCCACATTCATTATATTGTTTTATTTATTTTTTTCTTTTTTCTTGATTTTCTCATTATACTTCTTCCATAGTACATCTTCAAGTGTATTAGTAAAAATATCACACTCTAAAATGCACAAAGTTACAATAAATAGAAAAGAAAAAAAAAAAGAGTAAGTAATTGCCCAAAACTAAAATTATTTTGAGAACAAATAAAAAATTAAAACAAAAATGAAATTGTTTGAAATAGAAAATGATTTATTTATTAATTAATTAATTTTTAAAAATTAACTTTTAAAGAAAACAAAGAAAACTATATTTAAAAAAAAGTACAGAAACTAAACATAAAATATAATACAAAAAATAAATGAATTATAAGATTTTCAAGAAGTGAAACTCAAACAAATTTTATAAAATCTTATTTATTCATATACTTTTTGTGTATGTTTTTTGTATTTTTAATCTTGAAAATGACATTGAAATAGTTTGCATTTTTTGCATTAGGTCCATCAAATAGCTTTAGCAAACACAGATGTAATAAATTTTATAACATAAAACACAAATAATTGTGAGACAAAGTATCTAAAAAAGATGAAAGCAATGTTCAATGATGATATAAAATCACACCTGACGTTTTAATTGGAGGTATAATCAGATAAATCGCCATAGAAGAGGAAGAAGACATTTATTTTTCATTACAACAATTACATAGCTCAACATATAATTTTAATGCCTCTCACTATTCCACACGTCCAATTCTCTATCAATATTAGAATGAATGCATGCAAGGACGGAACCAGGAATTCATATGTGGGGGGCCAAGACATGAATAATTTTTTTTATATGAATTGACATGAACTATTATTTTTGAATTCAAAAAATAAACTAAAATTTGTTATTAAATTAGTACATAAAAAATAAAACAATCATATATTTAGTGATTTTTATTTTTATTTTTATAGATAGGTATATTTAGTGAATTTAATATATGAATAAAAGCAAAGTCATGCATTAAATAATACTTTATACAAATCAACTCAATCATTTATCAAAGTGGAACTAGACGCTTTTTCATATTTCGAAAGTGTTTAATGATTAATTTTGTAATAAAATTTTCAGTAATTTCCTTTTTAATGTATGCAAGCAAAGAGTTTATAAAAAATTATATTTAATATATGAATAAAAGAAGTGAATTTTTGAATTATATTTTATTCTTTATTTTATGTTCCATTTAATTTATTTATTTTTTTTTGGAAAGAAGAGGTGAAGAAAAAGGAGTGGGCCATATAATGAATAGGTGAGGCCATGCTACTTCACAATGACAAAAGACGGGCATATTTCTTACACAATTATATATTATTAATATTAGGTTCAAAAATAATATATAATCTAATTTATTTTTTTTTATTTTAGCCGGGGGCGTGGCCCCTGTTGCTCCACGCATAGGTCCGTCCCTGAATGCATGAATTCAAAAAAGTGAACATTTGAGAGATGTGATTTGAAATCTTTTTATTACTGAATTCTATTAATTAATAATTATTAGGCTTCAATGGTCGAACTTTTAATATTTGTTAGCGATTAAAATTGAACTCTTTGGTTCCATCTATATTCATTTGAAAATTTGAGAGTGGATACATGTCAAGCCTTTACACAAATACTTGGCTCATTTTTTTAGCATTATTAATATTTTTTTTTATAGGTTTTTGTAAAAATAATTTAATAATCCCATCACTAACCATAGTGGGGGTATTTGTTTGGGTTTTTTTGAGTCAACTTATAATTTCTAGCTTTGGAAAAGCTATTTTTAACTATTTGATTAAACTTATTTTAAATGGTTTCTTATTCTAACAACTTATTTTAACTCAAAAAAACTGATTTTGAGAAACTGCTCACCCTTTACTTCTGCTGTGAACATGTTAATTTACGGTTATTCTTTTAGATTTTTTTATTTTTTATTTTTTATTTTTTAAAAAAATAAAAAAGGACCCAAATAGACTATAGATTATTATTATTATTATTATTATTTATGAGAAATGTAGACAAATAATGAATAACAAAAAATAAAAGTTAATTGAAAAAGTTGCTTCACAGCTTATTTAACAAACACTACTCAGCAACTTAAATCTATAATTCAACAGTTACACCAAACAGATTAACAGCTTCTGATCAAAGTCATAGTTTATAATCTATAATTTATAATATGTTTTAACAGTTACACCAAACGGGGCCAGTATATGGAAGAAGTTGAAATGGAGTGGCAGTAGGTAAGAGAGAAGTCAAAAATGCTTGTGGATTGGAAGAAATCAATAAATGCTAAGTTTTTTTTTTTTAAATCAAAAAATTAAAAAATTAAGATTAAAATATTGAAACTCTCATAAAACTTGTAGGTTAATTTTTTTTTTCCTTACATAATATATATATATATAGATAGATAGATAGATAGATGGATATAGATATAGGTAATACCTTTTAAGGAGCTTAAAAAAAAAAAAAAAAAAAAAAAACCATGATTGATCGAATCACTATCAAATTATTAAGACGAGTGATGCTAAAAGGGCTGATTTTTCTCCAATTTCATATTAGATTGGAGGGTGCTATTGAGTTCATGGGAGCCCAACATGGATCCCGTTTCAATAATCCGAACTGTTTAATGTGTAAAACTCGTCGAGTACTATATGTTTGTAAAAAATCACGTTGATTGGATATCGATAGCTATCTCATCGGATCAGTTTTCTGTCAACCGTTTATTTTTTGCTGTTCATTTTTTTTATACAAAACTAATTTGATCACGTAACTATCAATATCCAGTCAACGTGATTTTTTACAGCCATATGATATTTGACGAGTGTTACACATTGAACGGTTAAAATTATCGAAACAGAATCCGTTGTGGGCCCTTACGGAGTCCAGATCATCTACCATACTTTCCTGCCGTTGTATACAAAACGACGTCGTTTTGTGTTAAACGACGCCATTTTATTGAGTTTTTTTTTTTTAATTCAAAAAATTCATTTCCCTTGTTTCCCCCATTTTCTCTTTCTCTGTATCGTCTTCTTAGCCTTTGCACCATCTATTTGAGGCGACTGAACCCTAGCAGAGAGAAAGGCGACTGAAAAGTCGAAGTGAGGAATTGTAAGAGAACTAACGCGAACTGAGAAAGGAAGTGAGAGACGAAAGAGATAGCAGAGATAGAGAATCAGCGCGATGGCGAGCAAAGGATCGTGGGCGACGGTGAGTCCAGCGGCGATGCGATGGCGGGAAGGCGACATTGCGGCGACAGCGAGGTCCATTTCATCATCTTGCTGTTATATATATATATATATAATATATGTATAAATTTGTTTCAGATTTTAACCCATTTCAGATTGATTCATAGATGGTTGCTATGTTGCTGTTATATATATATGATATATATGTATATATGTATAGGTTTGTTTCAGAAGATCCGGACATTTTAGATTTACTCTGTTGCGTAGGTGTAATCTGTTGATTCAAATTAACCCATTTCAGATTTTAATCTGTTGCTTAGGTGTAATCTGTTAATTCAAATTAACCCATTTCAGATTTTAATCTGTTGCCTAGATGTAATCTGTTAATTCAAATTCAGATTTTAATATATTTGATTCAGATTAATTCAAATTCACTCTGTTGCCTAGGTGTAATCTGTTGATTCAAATTAACCCATTTCAGATTTTAATCTGTTGCCTAGGTGTAATCTGTTAAACCCATTTCAGATTTTAATCTGTTGCCTAGGTGTAATCTGTTAATTTAAATTAATTCAAATTTTTTCATATGAAATGGGTTCACTAACTGAAATGGGTTCACTAACTGAAATGGGTTCAGTCACTGAAGTAGGTAAATTTTATATTCTATATATATAAGTCAGATTTTTTCATATGAAATTTTATGTTCTATATATATAGTTAATCACATTGATCTATTTTTTCATATGAAATTTTATGTTCTATCTATATAGTTAATCACATTGATCTATTTTAACATTCATACATTTAGTTGTGGATTCATATAATTTGCCTCCATTATATGGTTTATATATATGAATTGTAGGTAATGGAAGAAAATAATATTGTTGATGATTGTAGTTGGAAGCCGAAAGTGGAAATGTCATTTGACTCTGAACAAGCCGTATATGACTTTTACAATATGTATGGGGGAAAGATGGGCTTTAGTATTAGGAAGGCCTATGCAAACAAAAACAAACATACGAAGGAGATAACATCACGTACGTTTGTATGTTACAAAGAGGGAAGTCGGGGTATTGACAAACGAGATCCACTTGTCAAAAATCCAAGACAATAGATAAGATGTAGTTGTGGTACCCAATTTAGTATCAAGTTAGATAGAATTTCAGGAAAATATATTGCTTGTGATTTTGTTGAACATCATTATCATGATCTTATGCCTCAAGATTGTATTCATATGTTGTCATCCCAAAGAAAAATATCTACCACCCAAGCAATTGAAGTAGAATTAGCTTCACAATCTGGAATTCCTCTTAGGTCTGCTTATGAACTATTTGGTAGGGAATCTGGTGGAAGAGCATCACTTGATTTCACCAAATTAGACCAAAAAAATTACCTAAGATCGAAGAGACAAAAAGATTTGGAATATGGAGAAACGGGTAGTGTGTTGCATTACTTTCGTAAGAAAACTGTGGAAAATCCATCTTTTTTTTGTGCAGTCCAATTAGATTGTGATGAGCAGATAAGTAATATATTTTGGGCTGATGCTCAAATGATCATGGACTATGCTCAGTTTGGTGATGTAGTGACATTTGACACTACTTACAAACTAAATAACGAGCATAGACCTTTTGGAACATTTGTTGGATTTAATCATCATCGAGAAACAATTATATTCGGTGCAGCGTTGATGTATGATGAGACTGCTGAATCTTTTACATGGTTGTTTTAAATTTTTTTGGAGGCAATTTCAAACAAAGCTCCGAAAACTATTTTCACAGATCAAGATGCGGCGATGACTAAGGCCATTCCAATTGTTATGCCCGATACAAACCATCATCTTTGTACGTGGCATTTGATGCAAAATGCTGTCAAGCATGTAGGTTCTGTTTTCGATGATGTAGGGGTCAAGGCTGTGTTTTCAAAATTTATGCATGACATTGATGATGAAGAAGATTTCCGAATACAGTGGGACCAAATGCTTGATAAGTATGATGCATTTGACAATCATTGGTTGGAGCAGACTTTTCGCGTGAAGGAGAAATGGGGATGGCCATATATTATGAATTCTTGGGCAGCTAGAATGAGTACTACTCAACTTAGTGAATCATTTAATGTATTTCTGAAGGATTATCTGAATTGTGACCATAACGTAATGGAGTTCTTCATGCATTTTGAGAGGGTGCTTTATGAGAAGAGGTATAAGGAATTGGAAGTCGAGTATAATTTGTCCCAAAAATTGCCAAGGGTTTTAATTCCAACTTTGATGTTAAAGCAAGTGGCAGAGATTTACACGAAAATAATTTTTGAGAAATTCCAAAATGAGTATGTGCAGTCCATTGAAGCATCCATTATAAGCACTATTAATGATGGTGAGAGCACCATATTCACAATAAGAACAATGGTTGATGGAAAAAAAGATAAGATTGTGACAATAGATAGAGGGGGTTCTTTGAGTTGTAGTTGCAAGAAGTTTGAAGTGAAGGGCATACTATGTCAACATTGTGTGAAGGTGCTTAGAGATATATTCAATGCAACGGAACTTCCTCCACAATATATACTCAAACGATGGACTAAAAAAGCAAGGGCTGAACGAGTGAAAAGATAGACGTGGGTATGAAGTGAAGGCTGATGTGAAATTACATCAAAGTGACCGATATCGGTCATTAATGACCATGTTTAGAGCAATTGCGAGTAGAGCCGCTAAAAGTGAAGAAACTTATCAGTTATTAGTTTCATAAGGTGAAGAATTGAGTGTAATGGTTGAAGACAAATTAAGTCTCCACATTTGTGGTCAAGTGGAGGTAACTGATTTGAGAAATTCGTCAAGCAATACATGCCCACAGAGTGATGAAGTAAATTGTCCAATCCAAGCTAAGGGACTGAAGAAAAGATAGTCAACTAGTAAGGGAAGAAGGAGGATCAAAGGCGGGATGGAAAAATCTATTGCAAAGAAGAAAAGGATGCAATCTATTCAGATTGTGACATGAAAAATTGCATATGATTAAAATACAGTAGATTAATAAACTAAAACATTGATTTTATTTAGTAATGACCCACTTTCATTAAGGTTTTTCGTTGTATGTAGGGTGCCGCTGATTATACTCCCCAATGTGAATCTCAGCCTCATTTCGGCATGGGTAATAATTCCATTCAGGTAATATTTAATAGTAATGTGGTCTTTATATGACCATGTTTATTGAATTCATTTCATTAAGTTCGTTCATTATATGGTTAATTGTTGTTATCTTTAATTGGTTTACTTCGCAATGTAGTCGGGTGGTACTGTTTACACTTCCCAAGGTGAATCACAACTTCATTTCGTCATGGGTGGTAATTCTATTCAGGTAACATTTAATAGTTTATATCCTTTCATTGGGTTGCTTACTATTTAATTTTTGTTATCTTTAATTGGTTTGCCTGGCAATGCAGTCGAGTGCTGCTATTTATACTTGCCAAGGTCAATCACAATCTCGTTTCATCATGGGTAGTAATTCTAATCAGGTAATATTTTTTTGTGTGTAAGTTTTTAAGGAAATGTTAAATAATGACCATGTTTTTTAGTAGAATATTTTGTTTACATACTTTATATTTGTTGTATTTAGGATCAAGCTCTTGCTGTCAATTTTTCTCAATCACAACCTCGTTTCGTCATGGGTATTAATTATAATAAGGTAATATTAATGTTCAATAATGTTTCTTTTGTTTTTAAAATTTTTTGATTACATACTTTATATTGGCTGTATTTAGGATCATCGTCATGATATGTACATTTCTCCATCTCAACCTCGACCTCAAGTTCTTATTGATGGTACAAGTGGTCCTCCTCTTACGTATGGTACATATGATGTGAGTTATAATTAGTGACATAGTTTACATTTAAAATGTAATATACATTGTAATCAAAGTTGAATAGATGGTTTGGTCTATTGCAGGGACATAACACGCCTCAGTCAATGCCTTCTGTGTATCCCACTCACAGATCTTTTCAGGAGTTGCTTCGAGGTACAAGTGTTGAAAACTTTGAAGTCCAACTCTCGCAAGCGTCACATAGTCCTGCTGACAGTCATGTACATGGACGTCCCTGAGAAGTTTATTTTATCTTCATATGTTTTGGACAGATGTTTTTTGTGTTGGATAGATTTATAATGATTTAGACAGATTTGGACAGCTTTGGTTTATTTTGGACAGATTTGGTCCTATGTATGTTGGACAGATTTGGTCTTATATATGTTAGACAAATTTGGAATGATATGGACATCGTATGGACAATTTTCTTTTATTTTGATTTCGACAATTTTGGTTTATTTTGGACAAATTTGGTCTTATGTATGTTGGACAGATTTGAAATGATGTGGATATCCTATGGACAGTTTTCTTTTATTTTGATTTGGACAGTTTTGGTTTATTTTGGACAGATTTGGTCTTATGTATGTTGGACAAATTTGGAATGATATGGACATTGTATAGACAGTTTTCTTTTATTTTGATTTGGACAGTTTTGGTTTATTTTGGATAGATTTGGTCTTATGTATATTGGACAGATTTGGTCTTATGTATGTTGGACAGATTTGGAATAATGTGGACATCCTATGGACAGTTTTCTTTTATTTTGATTTGGACAGTTTTGGTTTATGTTGGACAGATTTGGTCTTATGTATGTTGGACAGATTTGGAATGATATGGACATCCTATGGACAGTTTTCTTTTATTTTGGATAGATTTGGTCTCATGAATGTTGGACAGATTTGGTTGTGTTATTTTGCGTTGCACAGGTTTATAATGTTGTGGACAGATGTGGAATAATCTGGACAAATTTCTTTTATTTTGGACAGTTTTCTTTTGTTTTGGACAGATTACGTCTCATGAATTTTGTGTTGGACAGATTTGGTTTTGGTTTGTGTTGTTTTGTGTTGTCTGCACAGTTTTGGATTTTGGATAGATTTTGATAGATTTCATTTGTGTTAGACATATTTGGTTATGTTGTGGACAAATTTGGTTGTGTTATGTTGTGGACAAATTCAAAACCTGTGCAACAGATTTGATTTTTTTTATAAAATAATGAATGAACAAATATAAAATAAGGACAGATTTGGACAGATTATGTTGTGGGCAGATTTCATCTCTTTTTGATAGATTTCACAGATGAAGAACAAGTATGACCTGACCAACAACAACAATATAAAATAATAAAATCTGTCCACAACATTATAACATAATGAAATCGTCAAGCATAGGTAGTTTCAGGTAATGTCATTGACAGAGACAAAAAAGAAGCGCATCACATTCATCAAACATAGGTAATTCCATTAAGCTTTACATATCAACATTCATAGTTTAAGGTTTATAACATTCAAAACCCAAATACATCCACACAAAAAAAAAACAAAACAAAACAAAAAAACTAACTAAAAGGTTACATTCACTTCAGTAGTGCTATTAGCATGGTAAAACCAATCAACACTATGGTTGTGAACATAAACAGTTTCATAGCTTCTTGGTTTGCCTCAACTCGTTCCAATCTATTTATAGTTTCATTGAGTTTGTCAACATCGTAATCATAGCCTCTCTCATCTTCATTCTTCATATGACTAGCTTTACTTTTCCTTTGGATATTTGATACATTCCCAGTCGAAGTCGCTCCCCACCCAAAGTACTCGCACATCCTATCTGCACACTTGAAATACAGCCTCCCTGGATTTTTCTCTGATTTCGATATGAACACTGCAGCTTTTCTTCCACAATTGCATCTTCTATTTTGCAAATATCCAACATCAATGTTTGAACCCATTGACATGATCCTCGTAAGAGAATTTTATGATACAATCAGTCCATTACAACTTAAGACAATATTCAAACAAAGATGTAAAATAAAATACTAATCAATGATATAATAACCATTTGTCTAATAAACATTGTCATTTTCATGTTCATATTCATATTCATTCTTAATGTCATACACATAGTTTATGTTCATGTTCATTCCTAGTTCATATACATAGCTCCTGTTCAAACCAGTAAAATAACACACTGTTGTTTATATGCATTGTCATTATTCATGTTTTGTTTGACACATGCAACTGCCTTGTTTATTCATGTTTTGAATAACCATTGTCATTATTCATGTTTTGTTGCCTGAAATGAGAGGAGATTTTCTCCTTGTCCAAAGACAATGGGACCAATATAGATCAAATAGTCCTACTCTTGAAACCTTTTTCAACTGCCCTCTCTCCCCCCTAAAGGCCATTAAAGAGCAAAGAGTCTCCTAAACTTGGTAATACATACACATTAATTGAGAATTATTTTTGCAGTGCCTTTAATTGAAAATTCAGATCAAACAGGACTGTCCAAATTCAGATCAAACAGGCCAGTCCAAATTCAGGACTCAAACAATTAAGGACACTCTTTGCAAAAACAATTCAAGACTCTCTTAGATCAAATAGGGCAGTCCTGCTAAAAAATTATTTGATCTATATTGGTCCAGACCAAATTCAGGACTCAACCATTTATTTTCAAAACTCAAAAAGACCAAATTCAGGACTCCCATTCATTTTCAGAACTCAAAGAGACCAAATTCAGGACTCAACCATTCATTTTCAGAACTCAAAGAGTCAACAGAGTCCAAAAGTGTCAAAAATTGAATTCCTCAATCATTCTGTTGCCATATAAAAGGAAAAAAAATCTAAATCATGTGGTATTCCTTTGAATTCCTCAATCATTCTGTGTCAAAAGTGTCAAATAAAAGGAAAAAAATCGTTTTTAATAATAATGTGGAACCCAAATTAAGGAACCGAACCCAGATTAAGGAAGGCCAGATTAACACAATCATTCTGTTTCTTCATCCTGTGGAACCCCCTTCAGGCCCAGATTAATGTCATTATTCCAATAAATTAGGAATAAAACAAACATTGAACAGATTAACTAGTTCAAAAATTGGGAAAAAATTGAACTAGTTCATATACATAGTTTATGTTCATATACATAGTTCATGTTCAAAAATTGGGAATAAATTCGGAATAACACCAAATCAACAGATTAAAACAAACAAAAATTGGGAAAAAATTGAACAGAAATAACACCATATCTGTTTCAACAACAAATCCATCAAACTCAACAAAAATCAAAAGCATCTATTGGCAACAAAATCATATAAAAAAAAGTAAAAAAACACGAAGGTACGAAGGGAGAAAAATAAGAATGAAGACGAACGGACCTTGTCACCATCGCCTGCTGCTTCCCCTCACCTCACCGCTGCCTCTCCTCTCCTCGCTGTAGTCGCCTCTATTCTCTATTCGTCTCACTAGGGTTCAAAGGCTAAAGCAAAAGGTCAAAAACGAAAGAATAAAAAGGTTGAAGCAACATATAAGAAACGAGAGGGAAAAAAAAAATATAAAAAAATAATGTCATTTTTTACCACGACAGGAACTACGATAAAAAATATAGTAAAAGATCCGAACTCCGTACTTACGGGCCTAACAATATCCTCCTATTTGATCTGGGACGGAAGGAAGCCAGTGCCAGGCTAAAAACACATGGTCTGCCCAGGTGAGGTTTTCTTGTGGGTCCCACCTTATTTTCTCACGCAAAAAAAAACAAGTTTTAGAGAAAATTATTTAAATTATTGTTTATTGCTCACAGCTCAGGTATAACGTGGATTCTTTTAAAATTAGAGAATAATATTGAGAGAGAGACGGACAAGGAGAGAGAGATTCTCAAGAAAAGATTAAGGTCATGTTATGTTGTCTATGTAGGAACTACAATTATTGGAGTATTTGGTGGTTTATGTAAATAAAATTAATTAATTAATTGGCTATTTGGTTTAATTTTTACTTGCCTATTTGGTATAATTATTGTTTACAAATTATTAGAAAAAAAATAATTTAAATAAAGTGAGAAAAATTAATTACCTGAATGCTATGGAGTGCTTTTAATTTTTTATTTTTAATTTTTACTTTTTAATTATTAATTTTTAACTTATAATAAGTTGCACTAAAGAGATGGTACCTAGTTGTTGGCTAAGTATCCCATTAGAAAAAATATAACTATACATAATTAATAAATTTTAGGAGAAAAAACGTGTAAAATGTAACTTTGCGTAATTAATAAATTTTAAGAGAAAAAACGTGTGAAATGTAACTTTGCATAATTAATAAATTTTAGGAGAGAAAAATGTGAAAAATAGGGCACAAATTTATAGGATAAGCATCTTTTGTGAGATATACACTAGAAACTTGCACCTTACTTCTTGGTAAAAAAAAATTCTGTGTTGAAATAATATTTCCATTGACAAAAATTTGCACTTACTTATTAGACAAAAATAATTTAAATAAATTGATAAAAAAATTATTATTTGAATGCTATGGAATGCTTTTAATTTTTAATTTTTAATTTCACTAAACAGACCCTATATAGTTGTTGGCTAAGTACCTCCCCTTGAAAAAAATAACTATACATAATTAATAAATTTTATAAGAGAAAAACGTGTAAAATGTAACTTTACATAATTAATAAATTCTAGGAGAGAAAAGCGTGAAAAATAGGGCACAAATTTATGGAATTGGTGTGGCTGCTGTGCGGGGGTGCACAGCAGCCACTGCTGTGCAGCCATTTGGGCCCTTTTCGGGGCCTGTTTTGATAATCCGAACCGCTCACATTTTAAAATACATCAAGTAGAACATAACTGTAAAAAATCAAGTTAATCGGATATCGTTTACCCATTCATCCGCATACATTTGTATTCATTTTAATACTTTAAATTACAATTGTTATTTATTTTTGTAGATACAAATGTGAGTGGATGAATGGGTAAACGATATCCGATTAACTTGATTTTTTACAGGTATGTTCTACTTGATGTATTCTAAAATGTGAACGGTTCGGATTATCAAAATGAGCCCCGAAAAGGGCCCAATCTTTTGTGAGATATACACTAGAAATTTGCACCTTACTTGTTGGTAAATATATATTTTTTTCCATGTTGAAATAATATTTCCATTAAATTTTGGGACAAAAACTTGCACCTTACTTATTATACAAAAATAATTTAATAAAAATTAATTATGTGAATGCTATGGAATAATTTTAACTTTTGTTTTTTAATTATTAATTTTTAAATTATAATAATTACACTAAACAGACCCTATATAGTTGTTGGCTAAAGTATCCCCACTTGAAAAAAAAAGTTATACATAATTAATAAATTTTGTTTTGTTTGCTTTTATCTATTTTCAAAATCATGTTTATTATTTGTTTTTTTTTAAGAAAAAAAAATTATGATTATAATTATTGAATCAATGTGATTTTCTTGTGCACCAAAGGACAATTTGTCTCTTTCTAAACAAGTTTTCTAAAAGAGGTTAGCTTGGGAGTTAAGACACTTACGAGATGTGATACTTGAGTTTAAGTTTTATTGGTGCGTGATGCAGCTTTCTTTTTTTTTTTTTTTTAAATATTATTTAAAAAAACTATGTAATTTTTCTTAAAAATAAAATAAAAAAACAAAATTAACACTTGAATACATTTAAAAGAAAAATGACTAAGACCCCTAGTGGTAAAAGAAAAATGACTAAGACCCCTAGTGGGATCGTGTGTGTAGACCCATAATTGGCCTAAAAAAAAAAGCTATTCTCTCATAAAAAAAAGTATATTTTTTTTTTTCAGCGAATGGTAGTGCACCACGTCTATAAAAAAAGTTGGCCCACCATGCCATGATTGTAAGAACTCAATAGTATACATGCCATTATTGTCCTCTCATAATCCATCTACAATGATTATCCTAGTTAGCTTTTTGACTTGTGTAACTATTAAGCAAGAGAGACTGAGGTCATGTTTGTTTGGGTGGATATGAGCTTGGGATTGGACTAATAATTTAATAAAATTATTAATCCGATGTTTAGTTAAACAATTGAAGTACAGATTAATTATTTTAAACTTGACTATTAATTAAGATAGGATACATAATCCAACGAATTCGTAGTCATAGGACTATTAGTCATGGGAATGCTAATCCAGTCCGCTCAAACAAACATGACCTGAGGGTTTAGATGCAGGCATATTAGATCAGTGTAATTTATTTTTTTCCTTCCAATAATTGTGTTTGACATAATTTTTTTTTTTTTAAAAGTGAATCTCATTTAAATAACAGATACCTTAATTATACTATTGAAATACTCACTCACTTTCTAAATTAGCAAATATTTAACACATAAAATTAAACTTTATTTTTATTATTTCTGTCAGATAATTACATTTTAACATTCATTTTTAGGGTAAATTACACTTTGGCCCTTTTATGTTTGACTACTTTTCCATTTTAGCCCTTTAAGTTTGTTTTTTTCCACTTTAACCCTTCATGTTTCAAGTTTTTTCTATTTTACTCCTAAAACTAAATTTTATTTAAAATTAGACAAAAAATGATATATTAACAGTTGCGTGGTATAAAATAGTTTATTATATACAACTCACAAATTTGACACAAATTCAAACTTCAATATAATATTATATTTTTTATGTTATGTAGCAGTTATCTTGACATGTTCTGTCTAATTGCAAACAAAAATTAGCTTTAGAAATAAAGTAAAATTTTTTGAAACATGAATGGCCAAAGTAAAAAAAATTAAAATTTAAAAGCTAAAATAAGAAAATGATTATATAAAGGGGACAAAGTATAATTTATCCTCCATTTTTAACTATCTATTTTTTTTTTATTTTTTTTGGGGCGTACTTGGGAAGTTATTTTTAACTATCTATTACCCTTTTAGAGAGATGCTATAACATAGATTGTGAGAACTCAATAGTATGAATTTCATTATTGTTGTTTCTAATCATCCATGTATAATTATTGAACGATTGACACCCTGGCCTCAATTGGAATTGCCATTTAGTGGTGTTTTGCATTTTTCCGAAAGTGTCAATTTTAATGATTGTTAATAAAAATCACATAATATCAAAATATTTATAATTTTTATTTATTTTTTACATATTTAATACACTTTGTACATATTTTTTAATACTAACACTAGACTTTCCCATCGGAAAAGAAAGAAAAAAAAAAAAGACTTTAAAACTGTTTTTAACAATTTTCTTTTTAGAGAGTGAAAAAAAAATTATATTTACAAATTACAATGATTAATTATATTTTTATAAGCAAAAAAGATGATATAATATTTAATTTTTTTAAATAATGGCAAAGTGGTTTTTTTTTATAACTTTTTTTTAATAGATCCCAAACTATGCCTCCGTCTTTGGAGTGATTATTTGGTAGTTTTAGAGTATTGCTCTACACTAATTCATCATTTAACACTTGTCAAGTTATTTTTTCTAATATTAACAAAAAGTGATAGGGCTAATGACTTTAACCAATAAATATTAAGATGGGATATTATGTGAATTTGTCTCAAGACTATTGCATAATTTGTTTTTAAAAAATTATTTGATAGTCCTGTATGGTCAGGTGGTTTACCTTAAAGAGTAGGGTAATAGAGGAAGAGCAAGGGACAGTGACATTTGCTAATAATTTTTCATAATTTTTTTCTGTTTTTGTTGGACATCATTCTGAAATAAAAAAAGTGATGGATGATGTGAAATGTTTGTCTAAGCAAAACCACTCATCGCTTTCATTTCTTCACACTCCAATAATTTTGGGGGTTGATCTTATTGTGGAACCACTCATTCAGTTTATACTTTCCTTTCACATGGGTTAGGGCCATGTGAGCTGTTCTTTTAGAGCTTCAAAATGATTATAACAAAAAAAGGAAAATAATAACTCACTTTGAAAATGCAAAAAAAAAAAAAAAAAAATCAAATTAATGATAAAATTTATAAATTTTTCCATGTATGTGTAATTATTTTTGAACAATTAACTTGATTTGTAAATTTTCCTTAGAAAAATGTTAAACACAATTTTGAAGAGTGTCATGTGTAAAATGTACATATTTGTTTTTTAAAAAAAATCATATAAATATGTATGAAAAAGTATTGAAATTTATAAATTAGTAAAGAATATATAAAAAAATATATCAAGATTATAAATATTTTATATTTATTTAATTCTTATTGTCAATTCTAAGAATTGTTATTCATTAGCATGACCTATGATTATAATCTAAATATAATTTTTACAGATTTATATATATATATATATATATTTCAATATAATTTTTTACATATATAATAATGTTATTACCGGTGTAAAGGACTGTCATTAATATTTTCGTGAGTTTTATTCAAGCTGTGGTGTAAAGTTTTCATAATTTGATTTTTAAAAAATAAATAAAAATTAATTTTGACAAAAAAATAAATAATTTATAATTTTCAAATGATTTTATCTTTTAAGGGACATAAATAATTTAAAAAACAAATAAATTAACCAAACAAATTAGAGCTGTTTCAATGATTACTTATATAGGTTGCCATTGTTGAAAATATCACGAAATTTAATTT